AGAAACGCGCGAGCGGATTGCGGCGCGAACGACGCAGTAAAACGTATTTACGGCGTGTTTTCGCGCGAAAGCCGCGTTGTTTCGCCGATGATTTCGCTTCTTTACGCCTCGCGCTGTCTCGTTCGCCCGCCGAAAAAAAAAGAGGATTAGGCGTTGAGCAAATGCGAGCGTGAGGAAACGTAAAACGCGCGATATTATCGGCACGTTAAAATCATGACGCTTATCGCGCCGTTAGTCCGAAAGAATTAATGACACGCACGCTGCGTGTCTGTTACATACATCCGATTCCCCTGACTACGGAATTTATTTCGATTATATTATGAATATGCGAAAGGAGAGAAATATTTTTGCCGCAAATTTTTCGACCGATCTTCTTATCTTACGCTTGTTTCTCGAACATCCCCGCCGAAAGACGACACGGTTGCACGTGCACAGGTGAAATAACGAGTTCTGATTTCCGCCCTACTTCGCGATCTCCCGCACGTCGTCGTCGTATCGATCCCTCCTCGGCGCAAAATAAAAAGAAAAAAGATAGAGTGTAAGAGAGAGATAGAGAGAGAGAGAGAAAGAGAGAAAATTGAACCGTCTTACTGTGCTGTGCTGTGAAAGTTATCCGATTTGCTCGCGGTAATTCTCAAACTCGCCTACTAGCCGTAAAATCCGGAAACTTTTTCGGGGTTGTCCGTTGGTTTCCCGGCTATTACTCTGCGCCGACCGTATGTATATACGTATTCACATACATATATATACGCGGTGTACGGCCGCATACGAAACCGTGGAAACATCGTAGCTCGTAATCAGTCGTACGTGCCAAGCGTACGAGGAGATTAATGCCCGGGGCTGAAACGTCGCATAAATATCAAAGGTTTGCCGTGTACGAAGATTCGATGTAATTTTCTCCGTATACATTCTCTATCTCATTCTCTCTTTCTATCTATCCAGGTGAGAGGTCATTATTGGCGACTGATTCAAAATTTCGTCCAGACAAAAATAAACAGAAAGAGAGAGAGAGAGAGAGAGAGAGAGAAGAAAGGAGGGAAAAGCGTTTATCATAGTCCTAGAATAGGACGTAAAGAACGTGTGAACAATAAACATGTTGATAAGTTTATACAACGATAGAAGTAAAGCAGTTATGAATCAAATATGTAACTAAGTTTGAAATGAAAAATTGAAAGGAAGAACAAATTATTGGAAAGAAAAATGATTACAGTCAGAGAGAGAAAAAAAGAGAAAGAGAGAAACTTGATTATGCAAATTCTGGAAAGATGGAAAGAAAGGCTCATCACCATTGATAGAATTGAATTCGAGCGCGCTGATATCACGTGGGTTTACGCGGTCTCGCTAGCAATCAATGCGGCGATCACGATTATGGCGGGCTCGTTCGTAACGCGCGGACCGACGGCGCCTTCCCCTCATTAGTTCGGAGAAGGAAGATTACCACCGGCCGGAACGAGCCGCCGGAAAGAGGAAAACGCAATTTCTTGCCGGTGTTTTTCGTTTTAATTGCGGCCGGGCGAGTTAACGAGATAGCGCGCGTTACTACGGCCGCATTGAGACAAACTTATTCTCGTTTCGTTTTCACGAGGCCGCGGCGGCCTAACGTTTACGCTCGCCGGGTGTAAAGAGAATGATTTAGGGCGACCGACGTCGCCCGTATTCGGTCCCTTTTTAACGGCCTCGTAGTCGCTCTGCGTTCGTGCTAATGAAAATCTCATAAATATAAGTTACTTATTTATAAACCTTATCATCTCTCACGATATAGTATCTCATCTCCCAAACAGTAATATCGTTGTATCTCGACGAACATTCGGACAATTCCGGCATCCGAATTCGTCAATTCAAAATTTACGCGTATCGAGTACTCAATCGGCGCGCGTAAGCGCCACTGAAATGACTGAAATGACTCGCGAAAATCCTAGCAATTTGTTAACATTTACGCGCGAGCCCTGAAACGCGGGCGACAGGCGAAAAAGCAGCGCGCATTCCTGCCTCCTATGCTCGAGAGCAGTAAACTCCTTTTTCACGAGCGTCGTTTCGCGCGAGGTCCTTCCGCATTGTCACCGCCCACGATACGCATCTTATTGCCTTTTATCGCGCCGTGGGTCCCCATAAAACCACAACATAACGGTCTAATTTGTCGTGCCCGGGAATGGTCCCCGCGCGCTCGCGGGAATAAAGTTATTTTTACAGAGATGAGGCCGTTCCTTCGCGCACGCTCTCACATCCCTCCTCCTCTCTTTCTCTTCCTACATCGCCGAGTCGGAAAACATTCTAGCATGCTCGGGCTCGAATAAACAAAGCGACCGTGAGCGGGAGAAAAGCACCGCGCCGTCCGCAGTTTTCATCGTTCGCGGCCCCGAATGCGGCCGGCGAATCGCTTTGCCAATAATAACGCGATAATTGCACCGCGTGCTTTATTTTCTGTTTGCCAGCCAACGCGGAAATATCGACGTCGCTTTTTCCGCGCGATCCGTCCGACGATTCGCCGGGGAATACGGCTGGAAAATACGACTGGTAGAATCGAAATGGTCGCGAGAACAAGCTTTCCTCGCGCAATAGTCTGTTCAATTCTCGGTCAGACTTAAGTAGAAAAGTGATGCCAATCTCGATCCAACGAGAATGAGCAGGATGCACGTTCGACAGGCACCATCGAGAGAGAGAGAGAGAGCCGCGTCGTCGTTGACGCGATTCTTCCGCCCGCCGCAGCTTTTACCTCGGTCGACCGCGATTTTATAATAATTCGACGGTGCTTTTTCACCCGGCGATTTACGAGCGCGTCGTTCTCGCGCTTGTAAAAAAGGGAAAAAAATAACGAGTGGCGAAAAAAAAAAGAAATGAAAGGCGTGACTCGGGGCGAGAGGAAAAAATGGCACGGGACGTAGCAGCGGTTGCGTGGCGAGCTTGCGAATAAGCGAGCGCGCGCATAACTGTAGCGCGATGTTCGATAAACTGCCCGTGGGTCCTTTTTGCGCGGCCGCGATATTTTATTTACCGGTAAAGTGTATTTGTGCATCCGCTCGCACCGTCGGAACGGGAAACGGGGAAAAAATGCCGCAAAAGCGACCGTACCTAGTGCGAGATTTTCATGTGCTCTTCTATTCTCTCTCTCTCTCTCTCACTCACTCACTCATTCGCTCTGTCTCTCATATTCGTTTCTCCGTACTCTCGTACGCACGAGACTCGTTCTCATCTTTCGCATCTCATTCCCCAATAGCAATTTTCTTTCACGGCTCGTCACGTGCGCGCTTTAAATGTACAACGTTGTACACCTCTCGATTAAAAGGTGAATTTTTCCTCGGTAACGATGCTTTATAAGTTCAAAAATGGGGAAATGGGTTCTCGAAAGGGAAAATAAGACAATTTGATTGATTCACGGCCGAGTCGATCGATGGGAAGTAATTTACTTAAGATTTACTTCAAGCAAATTTTCTTGCGCGAAACTTTCATTTCTACGTCGAATCGTCTCACGAGCGAGCTTTCCTCACGAACGTGTCTCGGTTGACACACGACGCGACGACGAAGAATCTCTCGTCTTTGCGAGGCGAGCTCGGGACTGCTTCGAGGTTCTTCCGAGGCCTAGAATTCTTCTGCATCGCCCGTAATGAAGCCCCGCTCTCGTTTGCACGCGATGTCCTTTCCTTCCGCGATCGTGGGTGTAATTTACCGGGCGTATCTTTCGGCGTCGCGCCACCGCCGTGACGGCCTGCATAATTCGAGTCCCCTCGCGCGCGTCTATACAGTCAGATAGCGGGGGGGGGGGGTTTNTTGTAATTCCGCGAGTTTTCATACTAAATTCCATTACACGCCTGAGCACCTGTTTCATTACGTTGTGCGTCATATGTATCATTGATAGTCGGACACATATGAGAACGCGACCGCAGTTATGGGATTCGAACGAGAAATCGGGCATAATTTGCGAAACTTTGTTCCGATAATAATTTGCTCTCGATTCGATTAATAGCATCATAGAAAGTGAATAATTTCAGGGCCGCTGTTAACGTCAACATCAAAAGTAACCGAAGCAAAGGCCACGCTCAGAGAAACGATGAGATTTAACTGCTATTATTAAGTCGTTTCTCTTAGTGTAATAAGCGCCTTTGCACAGGCCTCATTCATTATCTATTTGTGTTTAACTTCGTTTGTTATCCTGTTCAGCTATTTTGGATAGAATTTTAATTTGCCACCCGGTTACCGAGATTAGTCGGAGATATCAGGTTACGCGAATCGCATCGGGGAAGAAATTTCGTTTCTCGAGATTCCACTGTGATGTAGCACGTTACTATCATTACATAAATCTTCTTTAGACGCTCTGTATGTGCGTGCAGGTGTATGTTGCGTGTATGTGTGCTCGAGTGGAATGTTCGTAAGAGAGCGCGTTCGTTGACAGAAGACGTAAGTTTCCGGCTCGCATGCACTTTGTGAGCAAAGCAGACACAGGACCGTACAGCGATCATACGAGGCGCAGAAATAGTAATTTATCGATGTGGAGAGAGAACGCCGCCGGCATGCCTGGCGGAAAGCGCAAAAATATAGCACGCACGCGTACCTTAACCGGCGAACTCGCTCTATTCTCGCGCATTACTCCAATTAAACGACGCGAGCAGCGGCTGCAGCCGAGGGGTGCAAAGTAAATTTGTCGAAAGTTCGGGCGTTCGTAGCTCTTAAATAACCGGCTCCGATGTCGCGCATCGAGCCGGGGAAAGTCGTAAGATGACAGACCGTCTCGTTAGTTAAGCCGCCGTGTATCATCCTCTTGAATTAACACAGGCAATTGCACGAATCGATTTCCCACGAATTTTCGAGGCTAAAGTTTTACGGAAAAACCGTCTCCCTTCGCATATCTTGCTGTGCTACCAATTTATATGAAAATTCAAACGCGAAACTATAATTTATATTAAATTTTCTACTTAAACATTATTTTTGGGAACCAAAGTCAAAGTTGGTTGATTTGGTCTTCAGTTAATTAGTCTTATTCTGACCTTATTTTAGGGCATGCTTACTTAGGGCCACTACAGACTTGGGCGCGTTCTGATTAATTTCTACCCGTTGTAAACTTCTTTTCTCACATAGAATCACGTAGGAACCTAGCCCGGAGATCACTTTCACGACTGACGTTTTTGCGATTAACTATTTCCCAGGGATTATGAATTCCCGCGGTAATGTCGCATTATTTCGTACTACTTTGTGCGACTTTTGCCGCTCGCGGCGGTAGCCCGCGCGCGCCTCTCCCTTCCCCCTTTTCTATTTTAGTTTCCCGTAGATTACAACCGGTAGCACGAATCCGAACTATTATTAGGCGACGCCGCTCCCTGCTTCTAGATCGTATTATTTGTTTGACCTCGCTTTCCCGTGCATCTTCGTGTTTGCGCAGCACGTAGCGCCCGGTTGTGCGTCTTGTTGCCGCGAAATTTGCAATTACGCGATCGCTTCCGCGTGCGTTAGAATGTCCGCTGCATCGAACGCGGGGATTATTCGAGGCCGGCGAAACCCAATCGAATCTCTCTCTCTCTCGTATCGGAAACTGAATTTAAATAAATAACGAGCTTATCGCCAAGTACGAGAGGTACCAAGGTTCGTGCGAAGGGAACGCCGTTTCGCTTCTCTTCGCGTTCCACAATTAACGATGTCGCGCAACGAGAAGTCACACTCGAGCATCGTCGACGCGTACTCTCGGACGATCTGAGATAGAGAGGTCACAGGAAAAGAGATAAACTGCAGCGCGCAGTCAAGATGGGAGTCGCGCGAATTAAATTAGATTTAATCGCTTCCCCTTCCTGCCCTTTTCCGGCGGATTAGAAGTGGCGAAGGGCCGTAATTCGACGACTGCACGTTGCACGCTGGAATTTCGCGGAACTTTTCTCCCCTTCTTATTTCCCTCACACGCGCGGTCGATGCGAAAGTCTCGTAATTTCATCGCCAAATTGCTACCTCCCTCCCTCTCTCTCTCAGTCGCGGAAAGAGAAAGCATCGCGCCGCCAGCGAGACGCGCAAATAAACACACTCGCGACGTTTCGATCGATTTACCTAGGCGTCCGTGTGTTTAACATTTAAGGGCGCGAGAGAGATGTCGCGGAACGCGAGATATCGGAAACAGAAGTGGCTTAAACAAACGCCCGGGAACGCGGGCGTTGCCCGCCCACCCATCGTCGAGCGGGAGCGCGCGTTTACGCTGGAGGTAACCCAATTCCGACCTGACTGCAACCTTGCCGGCGTAGTAGTCAACCCTCGACACTTCGTCGCGAGCACAAAAGCTCGGCCAACCAATGGCGTAATTAACGAATATAAAATCGCGAATATGACTCATTTCATATGAATCGATTATACAGCGTCTTGCCTAAAGTTCATTCAGGTTAAGTGAAACTCGCTATCTCATCGCGATCACATCCAACTTCTCCATCTTTCGACAAATTAGATCGGTTTCATCCGCTTGAAACCAAATAAAAGGAACAAAGAAAGACGTTGCGAAGGTGATGGCAAACAGCCGGTAAGAGCGACGGGCTACAGGATCCGTCGTTGAATGCTGGCTGGGAGAATTTCTAACGGGAGGATAAGAGCACGAGAACGTTTAGATACGCGTGAATCGCAGGTAATCGAAACGCGCAGATCGCCGTTCACGGGTGAATTTTCAAGCGACGAGCCCTTCGCCATCGGCTAGCTACGCCATTGGCTGACTGGGCGCAAGGCAGCGGTGAGCCCGCCGATCCTCCTTCTTCTTCTTCTCAACCCCGCCAGCAGTGAAGGAGCTAGCTGAGTATAAACAGCTCGCGGAGCGCCATTGGGGGAAGCATTAGCGAGTGTTAAGCTAAATAAACACTCGTCTGGCGAGGACCGCGGCGCGTTTACAACGAGCGCCGCTCCCCCCCCCCCCCCNTCAATGGTTTTCCACCGGCGGAAACTCATCACCACCGGCACCGTCATCGAGCGGTTCGCGCTGACAACGCGGCGGCTCGAGCTTCCTCCCCTCCCTTGGCTGTGCTTGTCGCGTCTAATAAGCTACTTCAATGTTAAGCAGTCTCCTGACCTCCCTCTCTATTTCTCTGTGCATCACAAATTGGAATTTGTTCTCCCCGGCTCTTAAAAAAGTTATTGCTGGCATCTTTTAAATCAGCGAGCTATAGGTCACTATCTTCAGTTACAAAGCGCTGATTCTTCGTCAGCAACTTCATCTCGTCCTGCGTCTTAGTTCATTATCATCGTTATGATTTTGCGATATATTACTGTACGTCATCAAGCTTTAATTTATATAATCATGTACTTTAATTGGTACATACATTAAAAACGCATATCTTAGTGTGGGATATTTTTTGCTCTGCTAATATTTCTTTGTGTGTATAATACACACACACAATCGAATTAAAAATACATTAAAGTATAAGACGTGTTATTTTCATACTTTCAAGTGTTATTTTAACGCGTTTAATATCGACTCAGCACAAAATATTGAGATAACATAAACCCAATATGTTGAATTAAAACATAATTACGTTAAGAATTTAACACGAAAATGTTAACAAGGACCGATTTTAACACAAGCATAAAATGCTTTTTCACCGTGCATTACTAAGCGCTGAGCTACCGCCGCGGCTTTCGACGCATTATGAAAAGCGCGTCCGGGGGGGGGGGGGGGGGGGGGGAAGATGGAGAGATAATGAAGAAAACGTCGAGACTCTCGACATGCGTGACAATGGGGCGTCCTTTTCGAGAAGGCAAAGGAGAAAAAAAATGTTCTCGCCGGACAGACGCGTGGTCGCCGTGCGGCTCCTCCGCTTCGCTTTCACGTCGCGTGCTTCTCGAGCGCGACTCGACGAGCGATCGCAGCACCGTCGATGTCGCGTCGCGGGGGTGCGACAAACACGCGACGCGCAGCGGGACGCTCGGCGTCGATTGCTTAATCGACGCTACTCGAGATTAGCGGCCACCGGCGCTAATGCGCGCCGCTCTCCACACTACGATGCCATTAAGCGCGTACTTAGCGCCATGAGCGAGTAGATGGATAGATAGAGGGAAGAGATCGTGTGAGAGGGAAAGAGAGAGAATGAGTGAGAGTGCGGAAGCATAGCGCGAGCGGAGCGGTAAGAGAGAGAGAGAGAGAGAGAGTGAGTGAGGAACACCGCAACAGGAACAGGGAGGGATCGACTGAAAGCTCTTTTAGCTAGCCTCAGGACGCAGGAGAGAATCGAGCGCGACGTCGTCTCGACAAATCCGTTCTTATTCGAACCTCCGCACCCCCAGTCGTTACCTCTCGCTCCTTACAGGGCTTAACATTCCCTGCCTCGATGTCGTGTACGGTCGCGGGCGATGTTAGGATTAATGCACGGATCTTATTAAGTAGAATCGCGAGCAGACGCCCGTGCCGGTTTCAAGCGCCCCGGCTTGATTAATTTCGAACTTCCGCGCGAATAGCGTCGTGACGCTTCGGGATTAGTAGCGGTGATCAGAGAAAGCACATGTGCCAAATCCGAATCGAATGAAGGCAATTGGATTCGGGCGTGTTTGAACGTATGGCCAGTCACCGAAAGGTTGCAACACTTTATTCGAGTGTTGACACTTATGAGTCCCGCGACGTATCTTGTATCCAGTAGGAAAATGTGTTTCCTGAAAGTTGCCTCTTTTAGGCAAAAGAGGCAACCTTCTTGTGACCAATATAATGACTTATCCAATAGTTTACTAACGTCGAAGATGCAACGTGATATACGAATACGGACAAACTATGTAATGCCTGATGCGAGCTGATCCTGCGCGATAATCGCGTCCAAAGATCGTGTGTGTGTGTGTGTGTGTGAGGGGGGGTGGGAAGTAATAGTAATAGTATCACTTTATATCGATCTTGCCTTTTATCACCCCTGCGGCCGTTTCTCCGCGCGGAGGCCGCACAACAGCCCGAGAATACCGAAAGCGGTCGCGCCGTAAATGTAGATTGAGATAATAACAGGAAATTAAAGCGTGAGAAGTGTGTCGAAAAGCCGCGAATCGGGCGGTAAAGGAAGAGGCGCAGCCGCGGAGGCAGAGGAAGGAGGTGGAACGGGGAGTGAAAGAGAATTTTGTGAGAACTTTATGAATTGTCGCGAATTCGCGAAATCGCGTAACGCGTATGTCATCGAATTTAGTTGAGCGAAAAAAAATCTCGCTCGCGATAGCCCGACACGTAAATCCTGATACATATAAGACATTTAATAAAGCGCACGATAGAGCGAGGGCGAATACCGGCGATTTCCAGCGCGCGGCAAAAATAAGCCAACAGGAGCTGTGAAATTTTTTTATCAGCACCGGCCACAATTCCGGTTTTATTCAGCGGCTGGCCCGATGCAAAATGCACCTCCGCCCGACTCTTTCCTCCTCGCCTTTCTTCCCGCCTCCCCCATAATAACGCGTGAAAATTCGGCCCGGAATGTTCGAACCGTTGAATAGGATAATTGAAATGCTTTGCGGAAATCTGTATGCGCCGACATGCGCGGTTCGTAAGTTCCACGAGGAACAGCCGAGCCGTCGCGCCGCAGCGTGTCGCGCGATTGCGTCGGTTAAATATTTCGCAAGACACGAAATGAATCGCCAGTACGGTACAGATCTGGGAGATCAAGTCGCGCGGATATAATTAAATCCGCGCTTGTTCGGCGTGCGAGAAACCGCGTCGCGGGTGAGATGAACTTGGCCGCGCGTTGGATGATTCTTCAGCGTACGACGAAATCATTCTCCGCGGGAATTCGCTTTCATGTGCGCGTTTCTAGCCACCTAGGAACGCGGAAAAATAATATATTTAAGTTGACACAAAGGACTGAGATTTTAATTAAAAGTTGACGAAGTTTTGATGAGACTCAAACGCGCAAAGAAAGGGGGGATGCTACTCTTTAATCCTGCACTGAGAGAAAAACTTTTGTTGATGTAACAAGCTGCCGATATCCGCAACAAATGATTTGCAGATATGGGCAAATAAATGACCCCGTAGTGGGAATAAGTAATTTGTACCTTTAATTCACTACTCTAGCGAACATTTCTATATTCGTTTGGTAATAGTTTATTAAAATAACAAATGATGACAAATAATTAGCGATAGTAACCTTTTCACAAAAAAGATTTGTTACACGGGAGAAATAATTTTGCCGTTGTAGCAAAACGTTG